AAAGAAGCTCATAGCAGTTTTAAGTGTGTGTGTGTGTGTGTGTGTGTGTGTGTGTGTGTGTGTGGTGATATAGGTATGTTGTGTTTCCCAGGCTCAGCTGGAATTCATGATCCCTCTGCCTGAACCTCTTGAGAGTGAAGAATACTCATGACATAACCTATGTTGGGGATCCACCATCATTTAAAAATAGACATTTAGGGCCTGGGATACAGCTCCGCTGCCTAAGTGCCTGCTTGGCAAGTGGAAGGGTCTGAAATCCCGGGTTTGCCATGTCCCCACACCTTTAACCCCAGCACTGGAAAGGCTGAAAACAGGAGGATCACTAGGAGTCGAAGCTGCATAGTGAGACACTGTATCAAATTAAATAAATAAATAAATAAATAAATAAATAAATAAATATTTTAAAAAATGTACATTTCGTCAGAGAACAAATTATCACTGAATTGTACCAACCCGATAAACAAAGCTAAATGCCCTGTGTCAGTTTATTTTCATCTGATACTCATGACAGTCATAAGGTGGCACTCTTAACACTTCTCGTCTACAGGTGAGGAAAGGTGTTCAGGTCAAGGGATTTGCCCATGAGCCTTTGACTGAGTTTGTGAGATTTCCCTTTCTCATGGAGAAGCTTCGCTATAGCATCGGATAAATGGCACAAACCGGAAGTGAAGACGCTGGTGCTGAAATATTCACTATTACTTACACAATTCTCTCTTAACATTTATGCCTTTAGTTTAACTCTGATTATCATGTTGTTTGACTTACATTGATTGCAAATCACTAGTAATTCTTTCTTAATGGAAAGAAATATAAGAATCTGCTGTCCTTGATCTGGCCTGAAGTAAATAAATATTAAGATTATTGAAACACAGTCATATCTTTATGGATTAGGGATATTCATTAACATGGAAACATAGAGTTCAAATGGGAACAGTTTGGTCTTTTCATTGAGACAGATTGGGATTAAATGAAAGCTATGCCATTTGACAATGCTAAGAATATTAGTTTTTTCATTTATTCCATAAGAGTGAAAATGCCCATCTCTTGGGCTAAGTATCAGGATTAAGCAAAATGTGCATTATCTAGTACCTAACCTATGAATTCAGCAAAGAAAACTTAATATTATTTTTATATTCAAAGTCAATGGAAAGAGTTGGTGAGGAAAACTCTTAAATACACTGATATCCAAATTTTGCTATCAGATTGTTTTTTGAAATCTCATTTATAAATGAGGAAATGTGGCTTTTAGAGGCCCAGACCTGGGTTAGGGAAAATTTTTTTCAATTGATAAAAAAGAAGGAAAGCTTTATTAATGTTGGTGAGTGTGTTAACTTTCCCTTGCTACTACAAGAATATTATCCCAAACCTATGTGCTTAAAACCATATGTAAACAGGGTGCTGTGGCACACACCTGTAATCCCAGTGCTTGGGAAGGTGAGTCAGGCAGATCACAGTGAGTTTCAGGCTAGCTTGGGCTACATAGTGAGTTCAGGGCCATCCTCAGCTACATAATGAGACCATGTTTAAGAACAAAGGAGGAGGCTCACTAGCAGTCTGAGCATAGTGAGACCTTGTAAATGACCAAACACAGAAACAAACAGACAAACCAAACTAATCCAAAACAACAAACAGTTGTGCTGTGCTCTTAGAGTTCTGTTGCTTGGAATTCTCACACAAGTCTCTCCAAGAATAAAATCAGGGGGCTGGTAAAGCTTTTTTTTCTTTATGGAGCACGGAAGGGAAAGTGTGTTCATTGGCTACTTCAAGTGGTCAGCCGACTCCAGTTCCTTTTGGTCACAGGATTGAGTCCCTCGTTTTCTTGCTGGCTGTCAGCAGGAGATCATGTTCAACTTGTAGACACCACCTGCATTCTTTGACGTGTGAGTTAAGTACTTCTTGAGCTTCTGTCTTCTCTACCCCAACTCCGGTAGGACCTTTCTGACCTACTTTTCTGCTCTATTCTTCTACCTATAAGGTCATGTGGTTGTATTGGGTCCACCTACAAAATCTGAGGAAATCTTCTCACTTTAATCACATCTGTAAAGTTTCTTTCTGTTTAAGGTAACATTCATCAATTCCACAGATTAGGGATGGACATCTTTGAAAGAATGTTATTCTGCCTACGAAGTAATAGCTTGAATTCAACAAAACAATCCAACATAGTCCAGCAGTCCACAATAGTAGTGGGTTATCTGCAGAAGTTGTTGATTAGAGTGTTTTATAGCTCAGCATATTATTATGGCTTTACTTTACATACCTTGTTTTTATACTTTTCTGCAGGATGGTAAAGACCAAGATAAAGCAAGACTTTTATAACAAGAAATGTAACTTTTGTATCTGATAAGAATAGCATATGGATGTGTCTCAATAGCACATAGATGTTTCATACTGTGTTCTAATTTGGAAAGTAAACTGTTATGAAAAGTACTTATTCAGCCAGACAGATGGATGGCGGATGGACTGACAGCACATAACTTCGCAGTTTGTCTTCTGTCTACCCCGATTTCCTCTCTCTGACCTCACTCTTGTGATGTGTTTCTCTCACAGTTCCTTGAAGGAGATTTACTCTTCAAGGGAATGAATACACAAACAATGGTCAGGTAGCATAACAAAAGAAGACTCTGGCCCACCTAAGAAGCCAGATGCAACCTCTGCGTCAGTCAGTTCTCCTAGTTAGCACCTGACCAACAACCGGATCTTCTCTAACTTTTGTTGCCCTTTCTATAGTCTTTCTTCCAACTCAGGACCAACCAGAGTGTAGGGTGCCCCAAACCAGTATGTGCCCCCAAACCAGTGATCCAGGATGATCTGCCTCTAGACGACCATGTTCCAGCTGTCCTGTGCACAGCCCACCCACATTTTTTACTATAAAGCTTTTCTTCTCCCTTGACTGCTGTTGAGTATCTGCCAAACTCAGTTGGTGGTGGCTGACTTTGCTGCTATAATGAACCAAATAAATACATAAAGTGTTTTGCTCATTTTTTAAAATTTTACACATTCTTTGATCTTCTGCATATTTCTGTCCCCTTAAGATCCTACTGAATAACTCCTTTCTCCTTGGCATATGTGGGTAATTTATATTCATCCTTTAAGCATCAGCTTAGATGTTACTAATAATAAAAATAACAATAATAATTATTACTAAAATGATAGCTGACCTCTGCTAAGATCTTACCATATGCTAAGAATGTTTGTAAATATGTTCAATTTATCAACTCATTAAACTCTCATAATTTATTGATGGAGGCTGCTATTAATTATCCACATTTTGCAGAGTGGAAAGATTATTCAGACAGATCAAGGAACTTGTGCAAAGTGAAGAAGTTGGGACTAAAATTAGGTGTCCTAGTGCCATAGTTCACTTTTGAAATAATTCTTTATATTGCTTTAAAATACCCTATGATTAGGTTGGGTTTAATAGTTCTCTGTACTTTATCTTTATGTTGGACCGTGTTGTGCTTGTCTATAAATTTGCCTGTAGTTCCTCTTGCTAAGCTCCCTAAGAAAAAGGTCAGTGTCTACTATGTTTATAACATATGACAATTTCTCGATCAATGTGTGGTTAGGTAATGAACAATGAACACATGATAAGAATGCAAAACTTTGAATTACGATTTTTCAAAACTGGAGGAGCAAATGCTAAAGAAAAATAACTATGAAAGCTATCTTTCAACACAAGGTAATCCTACATATGACTTTATAATATCCATCCAAGAAACCACTTCCTTTTTTTTTTTTTTGGAACCACTTTAAGAAAAGACCAGCTTCTTTTTTCCAAGCTTCAGTTTCCTTCCTATTCTTAAACATGAAATCATGTGCAATGCTAACATCAGCGTTTCCTGAGAAAGCTCTTCCAACATAATAGTCATCCCGAGGCCGTACTTACTATTTTCTAGGTTTTGTTTCTGAGGCAGGGTGTCTTTCAACTTAATAATGTTGTTCTTGATTTTGGAAGAGTTCCATAGGCACAGGCCAGGGAGATAGCTCAGTACAATAAGCACCTGCCTGGCAAGTGCAAGGTCCTGAGTTCTATCCCCAGCACTGCAAATAAGTAAGTAAATAAGTAAATAAATAAATAAATAAATAAATGAATTCCAGTACCATGGGCACTATTTGCCACATGCAACCCTCCAAAGATGGCTGAGTACCAGGGACTCAGAATGTCTCAAGCCTCTGACTACCTTCACTTAGAATACCTGTCCTGGGACAGAGGCTGAACTCTTGTTTCTGTTCAGCAGATCTTCTTTCCTAGATTTATAAGACTGTAAGTCTAGAAAAGCAATAAGATAGTCATCTATATCCATGTTTTAGGTTTAATACAGCTGAATTTCATTCATTCAAAGAAATTCTTATTATATTCTAATAAATTCTTATTACATTTAGATATATTAAATTTATATCTAAATTTCTGACAGTGTTCCAAAGTTTGGAAATATCAAGGTAAACTAGATAGCTAAGACTCTTACTCTCCTGGGACTTCTATTCCATTAGGGTAAGGAAACAAAAATGACTACACAAGCAACTATATAAAACATTGTTAATAAGTGGAAAAAAAGCTCAATACTTGGTGACAGCAACTTGTCCAAATGTATGTTTCCAAACAAGTATCCCTGGCCAACTAGTTAGGGAATTATAATTATTATTATTATTATTATTATTATTATCATTATCGATAGTATCATCATCGACAGGTTCATGATATTTCTTTGCAGCTCAGGGTCTCACTATGCAGTTTAGGCTGGCCTTGAACTCACCAGTTAGTCAACTGGTAGGTTGAACTTGAGGTGATCCTCCTGCCTCAGCCTCCTGATCTCTGGGATTACAGGTGTGCACCACCATGCCTATAGTCAGGGAATTCTTGACATTTCCTTTCAGCTGTCTGTTGATTCTACCAAGGAAGTAAACAAATCTGTTTTGCATAAGAATTTATCCTGATCAACACATTCCCAACATACTTAAGTAAATTTTTTCTTGCTTTTTTTTTTTTCTTTCTCTCTTAGGCATTGACTATTACAACAAGATCATTGATGATTTGTTAGCTAATGGAGTCATACCTGTGGTGACCATCTACCATTTCGATTTGCCTCAGGCTTTAGAAGACCAGGGTGGATGGTTTTCAGATACCATCATTGATGTCTTTGACAAATACGCCCAGTTTTGCTTCAGCACATTTGGGGATCGAGTCCGGCTGTGGATCACCTTGAATGAACCCAATGTTATGAGTGCATTGGGGTATGATTTAGGATTATTTCCTCCTGGTGTTCCTCATGTTGGCACTGGTGGTTATCAGGCAGCTCATAACATGATTAAGGCTCATGCCAGAGCCTGGCACAGTTATGATCGCTTATTCCGGAAAGAGCAGAAGGGTATGGTGTCCCTATCACTTTTTTGTATCTGGTCAGAACCAGCAAATTCCAACTCAGTGCTGGACCAGAAAGCTGCTCAAAGAGCCATCAACTTCCAATTTGATTTCTTTGCTAAACCTATATTCATTGATGGTGACTATCCTGAACTTGTCAAGTCCCAGATCGCCTCCATGAGTGTAAAGCAAGGCTATCCATCTTCGAGGCTTTTTGAATTCACAGAAGAAGAGAAGAAAATGATCAAGGGCACTGCTGATTTCTTTGCTGTGCAATATTATACAACTCGCTTCATCAAGCACAAGGAAAATAAGGAAGCAGAGCTTGGTATTCCTCAGGATGCGGAGATTGAGCTTTTCTCAGATCCTTCTTGGAAAGGATTTGGGTGGGTCCGTGTGGTGCCATGGGGACTACGCAAGCTGCTTAACTATATTAAGGTAACTGCATGATTTGTGTGTGTGCAGGAAGCAGGACCAGCAAAGGTTAGGAATACTTATGGAGCTGAAAAAGGATGATTTTTAGATAATAGCGTATTCAAGTTTTGACTTGAGAAGAACCGATGAAGATTTAAATTGGTTATTTGCTTCAAAGCCAGTTGTTTGAATTTGCTATTAAAGTCAGCTGTAGCAATAAGAGCAGCTTGGACATACTTGTCAGGCTGGTGTGATACTGTGATTATTAAAATGTATTTTAAGAAAAGAGCTAGCTGGATCCTTTCTGGGTCTCTGCTGTGCTCGATGCCATCCAGGTAGCTGAAATTAAAATTTCAAGTTAACCAGCTTCAGGACCCTTCCTGTGGTGCAGCAGAGATTGTAGCTGTCAGTGGGACCAAGGGGTTAAGGAACAGTGACAGTGAGCAGATGCTGATGGGAAGAAAGATATTTCTGTCTTCACATTATAATAGGAGTCATTTGACTGTCTTCATGGACATTTGCGCAGTTTTGCTTCTCCATTGTTAGTCATAAAAGGTCAGCGCGTGGAAAATTAAGTTAATAGGGTCAGTGCAATTTGATGAAAACTAGTTTTGGGGTTGTAGCTTCAGGAAGATAGAGGGTAATGCACCTGATTTTATGGGCTTTTTTAAAAAAAAAAAAAAAACATCTGTTTAGAATAAAACTACTATCTTGTTCTAGGACACGTATAATAACCCTATAATTTACATCACTGAGAATGGGTTTCCCCAGGACGACCCCCCATCTATGGATGACACTGAGCGCTGGGAATGTTTCAGACAGACGTTTCAGGAACTGCTCAAAGGTACCATTTGAAATGATGAAAGATCAATTGTGCAAACTTAATATAATTTCCCCATGTGCTTATTTGCATGCAGCAAAGACCAATGATTTTGAAAGCTGAAATTCATGTAAATCACTGTAAAGCAATATAATTAGAAGAGGGGGAACAAGTGTTTGGAAAGAAGAAGGTGAAGATGTTGGCTTAGTTTCAGCCTCTTGAAATGGGATCACATAAAAAGCAACTGTTTTCAGCATTTTTCACCCCCCTGGCTGAAAGGAACAAAAATAGAAGGAAAGAAAATTAATTATTAAAAAAAATCACCTGTACCATGTGTATGTGCATACTTTCATATCCTAATTGCTAAGCAATGAATTTACAGGACTCAAGTCAGCATTTATACAGTGAAGTTCAAAATGGCATGAGCCCTTCATTAGTGTGTGTTCCGTGCAGGCTAGAAGCAAGAAGCCCCCTCAGAAGCAGCTTTGTGTCCCAGAGAATATACGAATTGTGTTCTACGACAATATTGTCATTCTCTTTTCCTCTTATGCAATTCTTATCATGTTTGAAAAGAAATAAAAAGGGATAATAATTAATGACAAGCATTTCTAGTCTAGTTAGCTTCTCACCTCACACCTTTTTGGAATGTTGTTGCTCGGGACATTGCTGATTCCTAAATCTTATTCCTTCTCTCTACAAAAACATCAGATCGGAGCATCATGACTGAGTGCAAAGTGAGACTTTTAATTTTGTAATTTTCCATGGTACCATATTCACCTCTTATTATCATATTTGAAGAGTCTTGGAGTTATTCTTTCCAAAATTATTTAATATTATTTTGGGATCAGTCAGAAGGAAAGCAATGTCACGTGGTGTCTTTTTATTTTACTTTATAAATTTATTTATTTATTTGGTACAAGGTCTTGCTATGCAGCTGGACTCATAGTGATCATCCTGTCTCAGCCTCCCCAGCACTGAGAATACAGTGCAGGCCCAGCATGGCATGTGGTCTTAGGGAATTGAACCCAGGTCTTTGAGCTTGCCAGGCAGGCACTTACACCACCAAGCTATCTCCCCAGCCCAAGCATCTTTTTAAAATCTGAAATACATTGGCTGGAACTCTCACTCAGGTCTGGCATTTATCAGCACAGGGTAATTGGATGCCTACCATTTAGTCCAAGCAAGAGCTCTTGTGCATGATGTACCAAGTTGATTCCTTTAGGGGGCAATTAACCTTCTGATAAGACAGCCTCTAGTTCTTTGAGATTCCTTCTTATTGCTTCCTGTGCAGTAAACATACTGATATTTGTAGGTTTCTTTCTGAAGGGCAGATAGGTGGATCAGGCAGGTTTCTGGGTACAGGTGGCACAGATGTCTGATGGAGAGTTGTTCTGTGTATATTTGGGAAGAGGGGAAAAAAATGGAAACTGGGCCATTTAACTTCCCATGTGGCGATTTTTTAATGTTAATCATATGAGGACATTTTATTGAATTTTGAAATTGTTTGAACTACTATATGTAGTTCCTTAGTTTTTTAATGCTAAAAATTCAGTGTTGAACCTCTTAATAAACTGATTTAGATACAGAAGCTGGGTGTGGTGCCACACTCTTATAATCCTAGCACTCTGGGAAGTTGAAACAGGAGGATTATAGTTTGAGCCTTTTCTGGGAACTTAGTGTCTTAGTGAGACCCTGTCTCAAACTTAACAAAAAGAAAGGAAATGACTAGGAATATAGTTCAATCCCTAGCTATTCAAAAGCTCAAAACCAAAGCAAACCTAACAAGCTGAAAATGTGAGGAGAATTGAGTTTCTAAGGGACAGGAGAAAGGATCTGGCTAAGAAACAAAACCTTCCTTGTGAAACATTGAGCTTCTATTTTGTGCTTATTGGAAGGAGAAGTACAAAGAGTGCCCATACTATGATGATTTGAGTTATTCATCAGCTTCATGATGGTGATTGTGTTTGTTAGAGACTCATCCTAGAATTTTGATTTTTGATATTTCTCTGAGCCAGTGCCTTGCTGTTCCACACTCTCACTGCTGGGCAGCAACGGAGAGAGCCTGCTTCCACTCACTAAAGAGATCGGGAGACCCCACTGTGTACTGTTGGCTAACTATAACACGCAGTAGATTAAGTGTACTCAATACATCTTTGACTTACTGATGGGTGTACTGGGACTCTTAACTCCATCATAAGTCAGGGAGCAACTTGATTATGCCCTTAAAACATCTGTTATTCTTACCATCTATGGTCTCTTCTGAATCTTAACAATATCTATACTGAGTGTAGCTAACAGATAACACCATTTTGTTTAGGATATATATATATATAATTTAAAACTAGGCAGAAATTATACACAATACCAAAAAACTGCACATAAGTACATTTATTATGGAAAAGATTAGTGACAGATTTTTTCATGCATTCTTATAGTAGGCTCCAGTAATTTCTGCTGTGGTCAAACTCTTTTTCCTTGTAACAAACCCCTCTCTCCTATAAACCACCCACTTCTTACCAAGATGCATAACACAGGGTCAGTTTGGCAAGTGGGATAGAATACTGAACATGTCAAGTGAAGGCTGATTGGCCTATGTACAGTCATGTGACATGAGATGAGCCAACCACAGCTCCTTGCTGGGATTTTGAACTTGGATGACTAGATTTATCTTAGACTCTGGGGGTGAGGTGCAAGTTTAGAAAAATTAGTCACTTTGTTCTGCTATACAAACTTAGGAGCAGTGAGAAGAAAGATACTGGTGCTTTAAGGAAAGAAAAGAAAAAAATTCCTTGATGGTGCTTGAGTGTCAAATGCCAGTTTTTCCCAAAATCCATCTACATCCCTGTAGTTATTCTATTCTAAAAAAGAATGATAGGGACATTTTCTTCCTTTTTTACAAAAGAGGAAACTGACTTTGAAAGCGCCTTAGTCATTTGCTCAAATCACAAAGTCCCTCATTAATACTTTCTGGAAGAGGAGAGAATGTATATATTGTAAATATTATTGCTTTGCTGGTAGGTAGGATCTATAAGTTTAGAGCTTTCTGTTTTTCATGTTTTTGGTTCAGGGTCTCACTATGCATCTTGGAGTTGTAGTGCTCCTCCTGTTTTCAGCTTCCCTATGGCTGGGATTATAGGCATGCACCACCATGCGTGGACTCAGTGACTAGCTCAGTGTGCCTGGGGGCTGTGGGGTGGGGGCTGGGTCAGCACAGCAGGTGTTTCCAGGGATCGAACCCAGTCCCTGCACTTGCCAAGTAGGATCTTAGTTGGCTAGGCTATCTTGCCAGCCCTAGTTTTGGGCTTTTTAAATCAAAGTGCCTTTCGTCTTCCTATGCAGAACCCTTTTTTATGTTTGGTGTCTTGGCATCCCTGTATCTTTTGCTTTCTCTAAAAGAACCAATCATTTTTTTGACCTTGAACAAAGCTCAGGTACCCCATATATTACTTCTCATCAGAAAAGCTGAGCTGAAGCAATGCATAGATTTTTCTGCGACTCCTTTGAGGTAGCGCTGATGATCTTTGCAGGCAAGAACGTTCCTAGTAGGGAGCATCCTGCAAGCGATTAAAACTAATCACAGACCATGGAAGACATTTGTGGGACACTCGGCAGGTGACGGCCCACTGAAACCCAGGGCATCAGATGGATGATGGCCTTGCGATTCCAGGAACAAAGCTTTCCCTCCAACATCACGAATATGGACAGGCTCATAATGACACTATAGTTGGATCAATGGTGTCTGCCTGGCAGGCTTACAGATCTCTTCAGGTAAAATCCCACAGCCATTAATTGAGCAGTAAAAAAAAAGTAAGATAATAGCTAATGTTTCTGTTTCCTTTTGGGAAAGGCAGGAGGGAGAGGGTGAAAGAGGGAGAGGAAGAAAGAGAAAGAGAGGAGAGAGAGAGAAAGACAGGAAGAGAGACAGCCAGACAGGCAGACACAGAGATGGAGAGTTGTTTTTCGAAGGGAAAAAAGAGAAATTAACCAGTGCCTTTATAAAAAAGGTTCTTATTTATTCATTTACTTGATACAGGGTCTCACTATGCAGCTCAGACTCATAGTGATCCTCCTGACTCAGCCTCCCAAGCACTGGGATTACAGGCCTGCACCACCACCCCTGGTTTCTGTGGCCATCATGGTGGGCTTGGGGTTCCAAGGCCAACATGGTATGTGGTACTGAGAATTGAACCTGAGTCCTTGACCTTGCCAGGCAGGTGCTTAGACTGCTGAGCTATCTCCCCAGCTCAAGCTAGTGCCTTTGAAATCATTGTATTATTTAATTATGCTTAAACATCTTTAAATAGAATATATTTTCATTCATGCAGACAACAGAAAAGCAACCCTGAAATCTTGAAGCAACATAAACCAGGCTTGCATTCCAGCTCTGCAAGTTGCCTGGTGAGGGAACTGTGACAAACTGCTCAATCTTTAGTTTGTTTACATGTAAATCTGAAAATAATGCTTTCCTGGGAAAGGTTGTTACAAGATTCTATTTAAGAAGTCATTGCCCAAAAACTTTCCACCAATTGCCCAGCCCAGATTAGGTCTTTTACTAATGACAAGGATTATTACAAAGTGTGCAGCCTTAAACATACTCCTATCACCTCCAAATCAATTTCTTTACTATTTTAAGACACCCTTATTCAAAGACTAATTATTTTTCATTCTTTTTCCCCCTTTTTCATGTTGTAACAGAATATTTCCCCCTATCTGCATGGTTTTCTATCAGTTATTTAAAGCTTTTGATGAATGCTGTAAAATTGGCCCTTTGACTATTGCAGGTCTCAATGTTATGGAGGAAAAAGCAACAACTTCATTCCTTGTTTCTGAGAGCTGACTGGTAAAAAATCAAGTTGTTGACAGCAAAACCAGCCATCATGTAACTGGGGATTGCTGTGTCACAGTTTTGTACTTTAGGGGTTTAGTTATCTTCCAATAACATCTTATGAATCTTTACTATACGAAGTATGATAAAAAATATGGTGATGCTGAAGTTAAAAATAACTACAACAGTAGAAGACATG